TCAGGCCGGACGTGGATCTAAACACGGGAGAGCCTACGACGGACCTACACGTAGCCACACCGCAAATCGGGCCCGACGAAGGCGCAGTCATCAATACTGTTGCCTCAACTACTACTCCGGCAGACGGGGAGAAACGCGATCACAGGGATGCAATCAAGACTAGCAACCCAGCACGACAATTAAGGTCAACGCGAATGCGGGCGATGGCCACCAACGTTCAAATACCGCCCCCCGACGAGAGACAGGCAGATTGACAGCAGTCACCCTCCCTCCCGCTCTGCCCCGGCGACTACAGAGACGATCCCTATGCGTATGCGGGCCATTAGCGCCAAAGCCGATTAACCATCCCCTCCCCCCTATAATTACCACCGTGTTAGCATGACTGATATCTATCCCCCTCCTATAAATACTGTGTGATGCCGTACGATACTCACCTCCGACGATGAAAGCTTGTCTGCTTTTGAAACGTCAGGACAATACAATCATGGTTCCCGAGATCGCCTCTTCTTCTCATATATATATATATATAATGGTAGGAGGCGCTCATCGATCGTTCATACGGAACTCACTCGTTCCGTTGTGCCTTAATGGCTCTCTCTCGAGCCCAACAAGCAGCCGCACAGCGGCGCATGATATATAGGCAGAATGGTATTAGCGACAAAGACAAGGGAGACTGGAATGGCCATTTCTGGCTTATTAGCCGTCGTCAGCCAGCCATACCCAGTCCCGAAGTGTGGAACACCCGAGCCTCGAACTCGCGACCTGTTGGTTTAGAAGTCCACGCCTCTACCCTACCTTTGTATATTCCCGATCGAAAAGCGACAAGGCAACCGGTTCGTGGCCCTGTGGGTAGAGGCGTGGACTTCTAAACCAACAGGTCACGAGTTCGAGGCTCGGGTGTTCCACACTTCGGCCTTGGGTATGGCTGGCTGACGACGGCTAATAAGCCAGAAATGGCCATTCCAGTCTCCCTTGTCTTTGTCGGTAATACTATTCTGCCTATATATATATATCAGCAAGGAGGGACGACAGAGAATGCGGGTAGATTGATACAGTACTCTTTCATGCTTGTCAATTTTTAATTTCCTGAGAAATTTTGTGCGAAGTAGGAGTAGATCAGTATATTCAAGGTCTATAGGCACAGACCGAGAATTTTATACATGAATATTTGGGTCAAAGTCCATCAGCCACAGCGGGTAACCGCGTAATATTCATTAACTGCCTACAGGCAGCTAGTAGTATAATCTAGGGTAAGGTGACACCATACTAACAGCACAGGTACCAGCCAAAAGCCCATACACGCGTGTTTCGCCGATGTTTTGCCGCTGCATGGCGCAGATGCGAGGGGTTCGGCTCGTCAGTGGGTCCCCCAGCATTCCCCGTGTGTTTTCTGGTAGATACTCTGGTAGATACTCTAAATTGGAGTATCTACCAGAAAACACACGGGGAATGCTGGGGGACCCACTGACGAGCCGAACCCCTCGCAGCTGCGCCATGCAGCGGCAAAACATCGGCGAAACACGCGTGTATGGGCTTTTGGCTAGTACCTGTGCTGTTAGTATGGTGTCACCTTACCCTCTTTCAGGCTTATTGTGCCTTCATTCAGCCAGTCATAATCCTGACCAACAGCTGGGACCAGAAACACAGACATGCGCACAGACGCACCTGGCGCAGCTGGTCCACCACTGTGGTCTACCAGATGCGTCATAAGCACTTCATCGAACCGAAGTTCATCAGTGCCTCGCCACCTTCCATTCTCTGTCACTGCAGATCGGATATTTATTCTTGGCTCGGTCTATGGATGATACCTTCGTCGTCATCGAACGGGGTCAGGTGCTGACATTCAAAGAACATATCAACGCCCTCTTCCCGGAGCCGGGAGCTGCTTGAGTCATGGTTTACTAGCCCCTGGTCTATTAACAAGTGCAATGAACTTCCCATTCAATACGGCGTGCTGAGACTTCGTCTAGGCGGAGAAATTGGCCACGCGAGGAGTGCCCTGATGAACACTCTTCCCAACACCCGGGTCAGCGCGTCAGATGGTCGAGCAATCATCACACCAACATCCAACGCACGTGATGAAATTGCAGCAATTAACGACGCGAATATCGGTCATCATGCTACGTGCAACGATCCCTGATGAAGGGGAGGGAGCCGTGAACATTCATAGGTATGCGGTGGCATGGCTACGGCATCCTATAAATACTGCAGCCACATGTGCATGAACCACCCTTATCTGCTTATGTCTCTGATGATGGATTCGAGCAGGAATCCGAAACGTCAGGCTAATAAAGCTTCTATCCCGGCGATCGTGTCTTCCTCTTCAAGATGTTTGACTTTGTACCTCATTCTCCTATAACGATACTAGCCTGACGATAATTAATCGGAGTAATACGTATCCTCGCTAATTTTATCTCTGAATACGAGTATATCTTATGCATTATTACGGGACGTTTTTAAAATTCTGATATCTATGTCTAGCCAGCCATAGTCCTGAAGATCGTCTTCAGGCAAAAAATAAACGTACGCGCACACAGCACAGATGGTCCACAGTCGAGTTTGCTCACATTGGCCATGAGTACTTCATCGACCAGAAGATTTGTCAGTGTTTACTCGTTTGGAATATCAACTAGATTGATTTCCACCGATTGCTGCATAAAACAATATCCGGCCAACATCGATAGCTAGTGAAGGCGAATGTCTGAATTTTAAGTTTATTTTTGAATAAGAAAAAAAATATCTGATGTAGCAAATGAGGCATGTTTTTCTTCCGAGGTCTAGGGCTCATGGAGGAGTTCTTCGTCAAAAATAAATTCAGCAACTTCCCAAGCTATTGTCTCCGTCTGCGATGAATCTGCGCTTTTTGCATGTGCTTGGGCATATTTGGTTATTTTATGTTCTGGCATTATAATAAGCGTTGCGACTAGACAATTATAAATAGAATAGCTCATAATCATCCCCCTTCTACCCTATTTCTACACTCTGCTGAACAGGTATATTCGTGCGAAATCATGCCCCTTCAGGCACCGCAAACTGCAGGTTAGCATGCAGATTGATTTTGTGCCCATCGATGCTTAAGTTGTTAAATAAATCGAGGACCGCGGTGTCGAGACTGTGCAAATCACGCAGATGCCAATTACCGTTTACTACTTGAGTTAAACATTTGCCGGCAACATTGATGTGGTAGATTCTGGAGTGTTTGCTCCGGCGTTGC